CAACTAAGACAGCCGTGCGCTATAGTGGCATGCCTGGGATCCACACTTGGCTCCATGACTGCAGCTTCCTGTTGAGGTAGGCCCTGGGAGGTGGCAGCAATAGCTCAGTTAACTGGGTTCCTGCCGCCCACAGGGGAGACCTGCACTGAATTGTGGTCTCACGGTTTTGGCCAACCCAGCCTCATGCTGTTGTGGGCATTTTAGAGAGTGACCCACTGGATGAAAGCTCTGTTTCTGTCTCTTTCTGCCTCTCAAAAAAAATTTTTTTTTTTAAATTCTCGGCCTTCATGGAAATTACATCTGGTAAACAAGATAAAAAGTTCTAGACTATAGAGTACTAAGAGTACTAAGTTCTCAGAAAAAGAAAACAGGAAGAAGGGTATTTGAAATATGGGAGTACTGAGACTGTGTTGGGTTGACCAGAGAAGACTTCACTGAAAAGGAAACTTTTGAGAGGACCTGAGAGAAGTAAGGAAATGAGCCCTTCAGCTTTCCCGGGAAGGGCACTGCAGGCCCAGACAACAGCGCAAAGACCAATAAGAACACGTGTGTAGACAGACGGGGCACAGTTATACGGGGGCAGAAGTCGAAGGGGTGATAGGGCACAAGACCACACAACACATATTTCTTTGGGTCATACAATTATTTTTTTTTATTCTGTAATTTTCCTGAGAGTTATGTGTTTGTTCTTTCTGGCTCTGTGAGGAATTACATTATTTTCTTGATTTTAATAAGCAAATAAAAAATATACTGTTACTACCATTTTGAGTGATAACATACATCAGTTAATTACTCAAAAATTTGTGCTTCTGGGAAAACGTAGTCTAATTTTTTGATTTACCATTTAATTTTATGAATAAAAAATTAATATGATTGAATCTTAGGCTTAAGATATTTACTAATAATTCAGTTGCTTAATGTTGCTCTATATAACATTATTCCTGGTTTTTTTTTTGTTTGTTTGTTTGTTTGTTTGTTTTCCTTGCAAAATTTTAAATGGCCATCATTGAAGCACCACTTTAAATGATTAACTTTCATTGACATTTAAAAATAATAAAATCCAATTACAAGAAAAACAATCCAGACACCCTGACCTTGGCAATTATTACTTCTTAGATTTTCTTCCAGACTTTTTTTCCTTGGCTTTCTGTTCAGCCAAAGTAAATTATTGGCTTTCTATTAAGTGATCGGGAATCTAAGTAAGTAAATTGAAACTAATTGAGTGATATCAGAGGATATTTAACTCAAATTGACCCTAATGAAATTGAAAAGTTAGAATTTATTGTATGTGCTGCAATGGAAATTTGTTTTGGAAAGGCAGAGAGAAAGAGACAGATAAAGAGAGATTTCTCACCCACTGGTTCACTCCCCAAATGTCAACCCAGCCAGGGCTGGGTCAGGCTGAAGTCAGGAGCCAAGAATCTAATCCGGATCTCCAAAGTGGGTGGCAAGGACCCACCAACTTCAGCCATTACCTGCTGTCTCCCAGGGTACGCATTAGTGGGAATCTGGGATCAGGAGCTGAGGCAGGACTTGAACCCCTGTATTCCAATGTGGATGCAGCTGTCCCAAAGTGTTGTCTTAACTGTTAAGCCAAATGCCCACCTGTGGACATGGAAAGTCAAGAGATATTGTTTAGTTTCCCCATAGAATACTTGCATAGCTCTTTCTACACTTCAGTTTCCTTGTCTGTAAACCAAATTGCTTATTTCAGAAGCTCACTAATGTATCACTTTGAGAATAGTTGAATAATGTATGTGAATGCTCTCAAAAAACCTATTTAGTACCATTCAGTGTAAGTAGTTTTGTTCTGTTCTATTAGGCTATCCATGCTTATCTTTAACAGTTTTGTTGAATTTTAATATTCATTGTTTTTCTATGTCTGGATAATTTACAACATTTATGATTTTTTTGATTGAATGTCCTTTTGTTAGCTCTTTTGTGAAATGGTGTCTAAGATGGAAATGGGTAAATTTGGCCGTCGCACAGCAGTGTTGTGGTCATCTTACTCGAGGTGGCAGTGGCCTCTGGCAGTGAGAATTTGTTAGCCCTGATGTGAGGACAGTGCTTAGCCTTTGGGAGTAGGCTCGGTTGAACTTTGTGGTCTCATTAAGCCTCTATTAGAGGGCACGTGGAAACGGCAGCGTACTACTGCGACGCCCACGTGTTTGGCCTGAGAAATAAAATCTTTGTTTAGAGAACCTTTAGCCAAAAGTTGATGACGCTCTAAGTTAAGGGGACGTAGTTATACCAGCACATTAGCATGGCACAGGGCAGCCTGCAGCTCTGAGGAGAGGACTTCTGGAAGGGAGTTCTGACACAGGTGTGGAGTCTCCAGGGGACCCTCCACAAGCTTTGGCTGAAGTTTTCAGCATTGGAAAGAATCTGATTACAGCAGTGGTTCCTTGGCCAGCAGGGAGCTTTAAACAATTCCTCATCCCCAGGTCATACTTCATCGTAATTATAAATCAGAACGTCTTGAGGGCAGGGGTGGGGAGCCAGGCGGCAGGTGATACCAGCGTGCAGCAAATTTAGGGAACTAGCGGGATCTGAGACTCTGGCTTCCTTGCTCTTACTGCCCATTAATGTCCCTCAGACTCTAGTGCCATTAGTGAGAGCCTGGCTGCCCTTTCTCTAAAAACCTTTGTCCCTCAAGCAGATTTGGGGGTTATGTCTTAATGCTCATTATTTTACTTGTTTCCCACGATCAGAAAGACAAAGTGAGAGTGAGGGTGAGAGAAAAAGAGAGAGGGAGATCTTCCAATCAGTAATTTGCTCCCCAAATGCCCACAACAGCCAGGTCTGGGCCAGGCCAAACTCAAGAGCCAGGAACTGTATTCAGATCACCCACTTGGGTGGCAGGAACCTAAGCACTAGAGCGTTAACAGGAAGCTGGACTGGAAGCCGAGTAGCCGGGATTTGAACCAGCACTCTGACATTGCAGGCAAGAGCTTAAACTGCTGAGCTGCGATGCCTTCCCCCTACGTATTTTAGAGAGTAATGCTGTTTTATGTAGGTCTTGGTTGTTTTCAACTTCTAAGTTTTACTACTAGCCCACTGTAAATATATTTATGTCCTTTCCCCCCTGTTTAGTACAGATAATTCCTTGATGACTCTAAATAAAATTATGACTCTGATGAAGACACAAAATAAAATCATGTTTCCAAGCATTAACTAGTTGGGAATTTTCCTCCTTTGTTAAAATTATAATGACTTCTTTTCAGAATACAGGATTGACAGTCAATTTGTTTTCCCAAATTCATGTTTTCTTTTCTCCAGCATAGTAATGAACCATGGCACCCTGGCCTAAATTTATGGAATCAGTCTGAGTCTGAAGGAATTGACTGCTTCATTGTATCACAGCCAAATTAATATTTTCTGATATACTCGTACAAGGCAGTGGCAGTGGATGTATGAGACAAAAATTGTACCTGTGGCATTACTAACCATGGCATCAAAGAGAGTGAGCATTCCCCTCCCAAACCAGGGAGTTTCAATGTAGTGTAATAAGAGAATCGAGTGGCTAGTGGTTCCTGTTGTTGGCCAAAGCTGGATTTCTGGCTGCGCTTCTTTGAGCATTTGCCTAAAGCTTAACATAAGTTCAGGTGGTCGCAGCATTGTCTCTAAAAGAATGAAAATTCTGTTCTGATTTACAAAAGAATTTATGTTCCCTGTTCCATGTGAAATATGTGTGTAAAAAACTGCAGAACATGAATTTTGCTCTGTGAGTTTTCTCTTGGTCGTTTTAAAATCCAAGAATGTGGCTGTTGTCTCCAGCGTGTCAAAGTATTGAACATCATGTAAATTTCTATGGTGTAAATATTTGGCTTAACTCGTAACATTCAGTCATCTGATTTTTATTTTGAGTCTTTTGTTTTTCTTGTCTTGCATTTTTATTTTGTTTTGTTTTCAGCCATCATTTTGTCTTATCATCTTTAATTCTAGAGCAACCTGACAACAATAATGATACTACTGAATTGGGCATCCTTGTCATTCCTGAGATTAGTGTCACAAGTGTGGCCGGAGAGAGAACCGGGAATGGGGAAAAAAGCAGAGCACTAGGAGAGATTGATGCTCAGCATATGCAGGGTGTGCAGGACACCCCCACAGATCCTAGAACTGAGAGCAAAGGCTTGCCAGAGATCAGGAGGCAAAAATCTGTAAGGAAAATGATGGAGGATGGAATAAACCCACCTGGCAGAGTGCAGTTTTAGCAGAGCACTGTATAGCTGCACTCCAAGGTATCTCAAGGCAAAGGGCCACCGATGCATGTTCAGCCACAATTGCACAGTCACAACAATTCTGCATGTCATCTAATAATCAGAATGCATGAGTGATGCACACACCTTCTCCATGACTCTTAATGCTCTTTGGAACGCTCATACCCACGTTGTCTCTGAGTACACTGTCGTAAACACTGAGGCAGAAAACTACTTCCCAAACAATTTTCTGCTTATGTTTTGTGACCTAAAATTATTTTCTCACTTTTGCCATCTTTGATATGAAGGATATTGTATGTAGAATTTTAACAAGTTTGAGCTTGTGATATTTACAGTCTACATCTTTAAAATTTAGTAATATGATCTAGAATGCAACCTTCTAAAAAACTCTCAAATATTTTGATACCATTTTTTTTTTCAAAAAGTTCCTTGGTAAGAGCTTTGATTTTATACTGTTTACTGTGCAGTAATTTTTCTAATTGTTTCTGATCTTTTGCATGAATAATGGGAGAACTCTTTCTAAAAACACAGTGGGGTGTGGTTTATGGCATGCGTTTTGTCTAATACACTTTAAATTACTGTCATTTAATTACAATGAAGTATTTGTGACATTTGATAGAATGTTGTGATTTATTCTTTGATTTTGTTCTGTAATCTGTTGCTTTCTGAAATTACGCTAAAGCATAATTTATTTAAAATTAACTGATTTGACATTAATCATTTTAAAGGAATTGTTTAAAATGCTTAATGTTAATTAATCTTTTTCATTTCTTTGTTTAGGAGATACAGAACTAATGGGTCAAGAAGAACTGATGGAGATATCGGAAGTTGACGAGGGGTTTTATTCGAGGGCTGCGTCTGGTACCAGCCAGTCAGGTTTATCCAACAGTAGTCACAATTGTGGTAACAAGACAAGTGTAGGGAAGAACCCGAGACGGTCGGGAGGAAGCAAACCTGGAGGAAGAGAAAAAGAAATGACAGGGGAAACTTGCAAAGATCATTTTGCTCGAAAACAAACTCAGAGAGCCCAGAGTGAGAATCTTGAGCTTCTGTCTCTGAAGAGACTGACTTTAACCACCAGCCAATCCCTGCCGAAGCCCAGCAGCCATGGCTTGGCTAAAACAGCCACGACGGTGTTTAGCAAATCGTTTGAACAAGTCAGTGGTGTCACCGTGCCCCCAAACCCACCACCTGCTGTTGCTTGTGGGCCTGGGACCGACGCCAACAGGTTTTCAGCTTGTAGTTTGCAAGAAGAAAAGCTGGTTTACGTTTCAGAAAGAACCGAACTTCCAACAAAGCATCAGTCGGGTCCACAGAGACCGCCTAGTATTAGCATTACCCTGTCCACAGATTAGTCTGTCATGTGTTTCTCTCCCGTGGCCAGTCACTCTGGCCATGCGACGTGGCTTCTTGACAAAAGCACCCTGCGTCTTTGATGCCTGCCCCTGACACGAGTTCTGATGTCGTAGATTCTGAAGGCTCCCATGACTTTATGAAGGGAATATTATCTAGACGGCAGTACGTGGAAATACGGTTTTGTGATTTCTTGGTTATATTGTGTTTTGTTTTTCCCCTTTGGTTTGAGTCTTTTAAAATTTCTTTTCTCGTGACTGTTTCCCCCAGGAGTGTCAGTGTGACAATAAATTGTAGCAAGTTAGCTAAAACACTGGATCATGTTGGCTGTGTCTCATGTGAGGCTGTGAGTTGATTTTCATCTTTTTTTGGTCTTTTTGTTTGTTAGTAACTTCTCTCTTGATAGCTGTGTGCTTGGCCGTCAGAGTCAGGGGGACTGTTTGTGCCGCATGGGCAGAGATGCCACTCAAGGAGTGTTGCAGCCGGTGGCGTGTTCAGAGAGCTGGCCCAGACAGCAGGCACGTGAAAAAAAAAATGACGTCTATGAGAAGTGCCCAGTAAGAATGTGTGTGGCCACATCATCTTTAAGATTCGAGTGGTTTGTTCAAAGCCCCGGAGAATGCCTGGTAGCTCAGCTCCTAGAACATAATGTAATTCTGGGGGCCCCGGGCGAGGAACATTGCTTTTGTCACCATTGCTTTTGTCACCATTGGAATACTTCTATGTCAAAAATCAGATTGCTGGTTGTTTTGAAGTGTTTGATCTGGATTTAGCAGGTGGAAATTTCTTTGAATTCCTAAGGTATAAGAGGCCATAGAGCTGATTTACCCTGCCACTCAACTTTGGGAATCCTCTCTAGCGTGGATTCCTTTCATTCAGAGCAGTACCGAAGATTCTCCGGAAATCACTAAATCTCGCAGCACAGCTCTCAAGATCCCACTTCCAACAATATGCTATCAAATTGTATGTCTGCAAGTGAAGGACATCAGATCATCCTTTTAACCTGTAAAATGCCACAGAAAACAAATAAACATGGTGAAATTTGGACAGAGGATATTTGCATATTCACTAAAGATTGCTTGTGTTTGACTTAAAATAAGACAACAGTGAAATGTGTTTCTTGCCCATGAAGAGGCCTGTCTTACAGGTTCTCATTATGATATAGAAAGAAGATAGAAGTGGAGAGTGACGCAGCAGAAGCTGAACAAGCCTGTGTGTAGCCCCAGGGCCCACGTGGGTGCCTGCTGGCCCTTGCAGGTGTGGTAGAACTTCCTGTGAAGCAAGTGTAGGACTGCAGAATTGGGAGTGAGAGGATGACCGAGACTCGAGGTAGAGGGAGGCTCAGGAAGCTGACCCCTGTCCTGGGCTCTTCGGCTTAGAGCACACGGTGAATTCCTCATCCGTGGTCCCTAGCAGCGGGCACAGAGAGGACGTGCTGGTCTTTTCCTCTGGTGGCTGCTCATGCAGAGCTCAACGACGTCAGAAGCCAGCTGTGTCCTGAAGAAGGCCAAAGCATTTACACTCTGAACACAGTTTGACCACGACTGCTTTGTCTTCCAGTTTAAACATAATTCTTCGAGAGGCGTGGACTAGTTTTCATGAATTAGCCCTGAATGCAAAATGGATTTTAATATAAATGAATTTGACTTTTTTTTTCAGTTCCAGTAACAGAATGAAATAATACCTGTTGGCATAAATTGTAGTAAAACAAAAAACCAAACAAAAAAAAATTGTGAGGCAACTGGGCAGTGGAAGTTGATATTGTATTGGTTTACGAAGAATTCTGTGTACAATTTAAAATACTTGTAAAATGTCCCTGTGAATTTCCTGGGTTTTTTTTTTTTTTTTTTTTTGTAATTCTTTGGTGGAGAATTTTCCCTGTGCATGGTTTCTAACAGTATTGATATTATTAAGAACTAGTTTAAAAGATTGGCATTCTAAGCAAGCTGAAGTGCTTAGGAGATGTTGTAGAATCAGTTTTAGGAAAAAGAGGGCAGCGCAGATGAGAGGTAAGATTGTGCCATTGCGCCACACTAACGGAACGCGGTTTGGTGATATTCTAGACCTCTGTGCTTGTGTGGTCCAAGGACCAGGAGGTAGCATTGAGATCAGCTGGCATCTTGTTAAAAAAAATGCATTGCTTCAGAGTCACCCCAGACTGATGGAATCAGAGTCTGTGTTTTACCAGGAAGCTGAAGTGACTTTTATACATATTAATGTTGGAGAAGAGAGTATCCGAGTACACAGAACTGACTTGTGGGAGAGGTAGAATTAATTCTCTGTGGTCTCACAACCTTGGGTCAAATGCTGGTTGCCAGACCATTACAATCTTTCTTGTGTTTTGGACAGCGTATTAATTTGTTAATAATATTGACATATGAATTCTCAAGTCCTGTAGGTTTCTAATGATCTTCACTCATTTTGGCAATAAAAAGTAACATTTTGTATTTTTATTGTTAACCATAAATGGACTCGAAGCTGTATTATGCCTGTGATTTTTAGTCGGACAGAGGTACCAGCCTTTAATAGGACACACAGCAAATCTGCATGTGTGTGTTCTCTTTGAAAAGCTCTGAAGTTTTGCTCAACGGAGTGGTTCTGAATTTTTGTTCCAAGTGATTTGCACCGCTGCTTTTCTGGTGTGTAGTTATGTTACCAATAAAATTCTTGTATAGTTCCTTTGATACCATTTCAAATAAGGATTATACATGAGAATTTTTCTAGCAACTTTCTAGCAATTATGAATGAACTGTGACAATATTGGTATTATCCCTACCACTCTCTTCCCCCTCACCTTTCAAGTTTGAAAGTTGGGGTGGATTTTGCATGTCACTTTCCTGTAATGATGCACTTGGTCACAGATCTGCTGTATCTCCTGAACAATACATTTTATCCCCCGGAGGGGAGGATTTCACACAAAACTGGGGACTTGCACACCTCGTCGCTCAGACAGTCTTTGCAGAAACTGCAGCTCTTTTCCTCATTTTAAATCTCGAAGGATTCTTGAAATCATTCAACCTGTCATTCTTGAAAACCTTACCGCACGGGACAAGCTGGACTCAGCAGTCGCCTGTTGGAATCCAGGTGGGGAGAGACACAAAGAGGACTTTTCAGAGCAGCAGGCCAGAGCACCCAGGGCCGTTGTCTTCCAGAAAGCTCCCTGGAGGCCTTTGTCCACCACCGTGGGACTTTCAAAGCCAAGCTCTGCGGACTCTGAGAGTGGAAGTACTCATCCCTTAAATGACGACTGAAGCATGTTTTCAAAGACCAGTGTTTCCTTACCTTTGTCTCGTGGGAAGCAGCTGCTCCACAAACACAATGTTTTAACAAGTTGTATTAAAGGGAAATCTTAAGCCAAAATAGATCAAAATAACCCCGGTTTTAAGGGATTTTGTCTCTTTTGGAAGAATAAGAACTAAAATATTAAAACTGTTAAATTATGGAGAAAAAGGCACTCTGATACATAATTTTAAACAAATATTTAAAATAAGGCAGTCTAATGTTTGAGTCTGTAGGTATGATAAATATATTAAAGGGAAACACATTAAGGAAATGTAAATGTTAGACCATGCAACTGAAAAATATTTTTAGGAGGCCATTAAAAAAGAAAGAATTTGATGGGCACTTAAATTAAATCTTGTAAATAGAAATTAATGTATAATAGTCTCTTCCCAGTCTTGGGATGAGACATTAAAACTGTCCATTAATGAGCATGAATTTATACTTTCAGATGTGTTGCTTCATAAAATGAGACTCAGTACTGCGAGTTATTCAGGCTTATGTTTAATATTGTTGACTTCTTCATGAGGGAGCATCAGTGTGCTGTCATGTGTACTTTGTAACTTGTACGTATCCAAGGAGACTTGCAGTGGATATTTTGAAAGATGTTTGTGGTTTTCATAGCAGCATTCGAGAGCCCCTGTATCTTATTATGAAGTTTTTGCTGATAAACTCAAGATACAGCTTACCTGGTATGGTTTTCTCTTCTATGTAGCTTGCTGTGTACCTCTTTTCCTTACTCCCAATCGTGTAGTGATACTAAACCTTTCATAGTAAGTATACTTGTTTCTCATTGTGTTCCTACGAGTTTACATTCCTAAAGAATTGACTCTGACTTTGGATATTTTTATTTGTCCCCTACCTTTTTAAGGCTATGGAAACAAACTGGAGTTACATTTTTCTGAAGTTTTGTATATTTGTGTAAATGTTTTCCGTATACAGTACTTTACACAGCAAGTGTTGCCTCTTACTTGATTGAAATAAAAACTAAAAAAAATATATATTTTTTCCAGATCGTTTTACTCGTAAAAAAGTCGTTATAAAAATTTGCAAAACTCATGATGTGGAGCAAGAGAAAAAAGGAGGAAGACGTAGGTGAGTTGAGCCATTGAGAGTTTTGGGGGTAAGCTGTAGGACAGTGCCATTGTTGGCTTTGTGCTTTATCGGCGAAGGCATGAGTTGTGTGACAGGTCCATGGGCGTCTGTCCAAGAAGATGAGCTCCATGGGCCGGCCAGTTAAGACTGATTGTCGTTCTAGAAGCACAGGAAAATATAGATAACATTGCTTTGCCTTTTTAACTTTACTATGAGTCTTTATCTCTTCAGTGGAGATTAAATAGCCCTAGTTCTTGGGATAAGACTTTCTGATTGGTCAGTATGAATGAAGGAATTAGGTTAGCTTTGGGAAAGAATCAAGGATGAGATCTTTAGTATGTTATTCTACAGTAAAATTTTAGGATTTCATTCATTGGCCTTAGGAAATCTTAATGACATTTCAGGAATTGTTTTGTTGTGGGTACTTAGCATCAGGACCCTCTTAGAAACTTTAAAAAATTCCTGGTGTGTGGTTGGCTGTCTATTTGGATCCCTGTATGTCATCTAAGGAACTAAGTCATTTCACAACTATTTTCTGAACTACCCTTAGAAGAGCATTGTGGGCAAGCAGAGCCACGATGCTGTAAGCGAGGTGCTCACCCTGTGAACTGTGTGCTTATCTAGTGCCTTCAGAATTCCCTGCCAATGGCTGACTCTCCCAATAGACCCAGACTTTGTTAATATCCACGTAACTACTTTATAATTGCAAAGGAAGGCCTCTACAAACAGTTCTCGTAACTTTCCTGGTGCTGTATTGTGGTGGTGGTTGTCACAGCTAATAACTAAAGTTGTTATCTCATTGAATCCTCAAAGCGGTCCTAGAAAATGAGTATAATCCCCATTTTGCAAAAGAGGAACCTGAAGCTCTCAAGAAGGTAGGTGACCTGCTGGAGGTCACACTGCTGCCGTGTGGCAAAGCCAGGCATTGCCCACAGTTCTCTC